GAAAATACTTGTATGCGGCCGCTACAATCCCTCAAGTGTATTAATAAGCGACAAACAATCTGATGTATTAAATTGATAATTGTTTGATGAAATTTGAACCTCTGACGAAACTTGCCGGTGACATCACGACCAATAAGCGAATTAGAATGAAATTTGGTTTCCGTTCGCAAAGAAAAATAAATGGAAGTAAGGGTAGATCTTTCTCATCAATCAATGCTGGCCTACTTAGTGGGGGGTGAGAGAGGGTAAATAGCGACGATTTCATATATGACCAATCTTGACGATGTAGGAGATAAATGACTAATGACGAAATATTCGGTGGGCGCTACCGATATCCGAATTAGCGTATCGACCAATAATAGGATTTTTTCTCGGAAAGAGGAGAGGAAAAAGGATCTTTGATCGCATAGAGCCGTTTCTTGTCCATTTTGCCACTGATCGCTACCGCTGTAGGAAGCAAATCCGAGAGTCGCTGAGTTTGCCGAGTTTTTTCAGCAGTAATCTGTAAGTAGATAAAGTGTCACTAACTAATACTAGTTGTGAAGTGCGCTGACCACCCGCCATTTTTCGAATTAGTGTGAGTAAAAAAATCGAAAACAAATTTAGATATTTAGGTGCAGTGTGAATTACAGTTACGAATTCGAAGATCGGGCGTATTACCGTTGCAGATTCAAGTCGCCGGGACGTGTGGATTTGTTTCCACCGCGCATTAAATCACGTCAAGTCGCGCTAGATAGATAGCACTGCATGCACTATAGAGCTCATAGGAATATCTGGTTATTCAGCAAATATTTAACCTATTTTATCGACTTATTTTCGCATATGATCAATCTTGACATTTTCACAATTTTAGATAAAAAATCAACAAAAGAAAAATTGTTTCGTAATGCGGGAATAAGAAGCTATTATTCGATATCGATATTATTTCCTTTTAAACAGGAGGAAAATATTTGATTGCATATTGCGTGTTGTCCGAACACCCGTTTTTTTCGCAATTATCTCAAAAAGTAGAAGTGCGGAAATAAAATTTCAAACGGAGACTTTATCCCGAAATAGAGAGAAAACGTTTTAACTTATGGAAACTCAAATATATTTTAAGAATATATTTTGGGCGTCAGTTTAATAAGTCTGTTATTGTCATACGATATTGCGAATTCTTTCTACCTCGTATCCACATTCCTGTATGGTAGTTTTTAAATCATCAGTATCAATTTAGGGGTGCATAGTTCGCAAAATTACTTAAAATCTCTTATCTTTTTTAGGTTATTACGTATGACATTGTGTAATCTTTTCTTTTAGTCATTAACTATCGGTAAATATTTTTTTATCGTTGCTAGTATCATTTTTGTTATTTTATCCTAGCACTTTTAATAATTATAGTTGATTCATTCAGAAGATCATTCAGAAAATTTTCTAATGGATGAATATTTTCATTGTAAATTATTTACGTTGTAAATAAAAAATATGTTTAATCTACTCAAAGATCAAATACTAACTGAATTATTGTTATTGTTATTGTTACTTCAAAAACTACTTCCACGTGGAACGCTGCAGAGGTAAACTAAGTACCTGTACGCATTAATTTTGGTTCCCTTTAGTCATGAATATGCAGACTCACCTCCTTAACCATTTTTTTTAAATGGTGTAGGAGAATAAAGTTTAACACTGTTTTTTTGAAGATAAAGTTTAATTTTAATAAAATTTAGAACAAAAATACTACTTATTAGCTGTCAGTAGTGAGTACAGATCTAATGATCCAAAGATTTCAAGTTAAATTTTCTAACAAATTTTTTGTTTTTTAATAATCATATATCACTTTCTGGATATATTGGCTATTAACATTGTAATAAGATATAAAAACAATTTATTTTATGAATAAATAAATTCTGACATTTTTCAAATAATGTCATTGTATCAAAAGACTTTATTATAAGTAAGAAAAAAATGTCGTTTTGTTTCAAATCGGTCAAAATTTTGGACAAAATAAAGTCTTTTTGTAATGTCACTTTATGACGTCATTATGTGCAATAAGGGTAGGTTTTTCTTAAAACCTTGAGGATATAGAAACAATAGTATCATGAATGGTAGTTAAATACCGACGGCTATTACATTGTATTTCTTATCTTCAAGGTGTCAAATAAGTAACGGAACAAGGCTGTAGCTTTTTAGATACAGATTATTAGACCAAGGTCAAGGTCATTCCTTTAGTAACTTTCAACGCGGAATCCGATGGTGACCTTGGATTTGACCTTGAGATTGACCTTCAAGGTTATTTCAAGGTCAACTTTGTTTTTTTAAATGGGAACCCCTATTTTTGACAACGGCAATCGAAAGAGCGGAAAATTTTACGTCCAAAACGGTATTTTTAAATTTTTTTTCATGGCCTTGAGAAGGTCGATTTAAAGTCAAATGCTTGAAAAACTGCCTAAAAGCGTTTTTTTTATTTTTAAGATATCGAAAAATGACCTCTACAAAATTTGTTCAGAACAGAGTGGGCCACCCAATGCACCAAAAACCTTTGACCTTTAACCTCATTTTGAAGGTCATTTCAAGGTCGAAGTGTTTTTTGTAATGGAAACCCCTATTTTTGACCCCGGATTCGCATATAGCGCGAAATCCGACGTTTGGATAAGGTATTATGTTGAGTTTCGATTGATCCACGACGTTCATCGCTAAGGTCATGTGAAATTTAGATCCAATATTATTCGCGAAACATTTACAAAATGTTTCGGGCTAAATTTATTAAATTTTACTGAGAGCATGTTGCAGTGACCTTATCTTTGACCTTTGATTGTTTGAATAATAAAGTAACGGGTTATCCACACCGAAAGTCAAGTTGTTTTAAATGAGGAGCAAGCAGAGACATAGGTACAGTTTTTTTGCCGGATAAGTTTTTTCCACTCACTGCGTTTTGAATGTTTCTTTCTGATTTCGCGCTATATGCGAATCCGGGGTCAAAAATAGGGGTTTCCATTACAAAAAACTCTTCGACCTTGAAATGACCTTCAAAATGAGGTTAAAGGTCAAAGGTTTTTGGTGCATTGGGTGGCCCACTCTGTTCTGAACAAATTTTGTAGAGGTCATTTTTCGATATCTTAAAAATAAAAAAAACGCTTTTAGGCAGTTTTTCAAGCATTTGACCTTAAATCGACCTTCTCAAGGCCATGAAAAAAAATTTAAAAATACCGTTTTGGACGTAAAATTTTCCGCTCTTTCGATTGCCGTTGTCAAAAATAGAGGTTCCCATTTAAAAAAACAAAGTTGACCTTGAAATAACCTTGAAGGTCAATCTCAAGGTCAAATCCAAGGTCACCATCGGATTCCGCGTTGAAAGTTACTAAAGGAATGACCTTGACCTTGGTCTAATAATCTGTACCTAAAAAGCTACAGCCTTGTTCCGTTACTTATTTGACACCTTGTTTAATACAGTCTGCATGATGATGATTAATGATCATACGAAACTGACCAGATGCTTTCCTTAGACGAGATCGAACTTACGACGGAAAGATAGGCTGAAAAGTAAATCAAATAGGGTCATGATAAATATTATTAATGAGAAATAACTTTCTCAAATTGTATCAAATATACTTATACTTTTTTACTAAATCAAAGTTGGTAATCTGAAGTTTTGATCCCAATACGTGTAAAAGAACTACACTGTGTGATATAGAAAGAGTTGGACATATTATAAAAATTTTGAAAGAGACATAGATTGTTATGTTTCTTATTAATGTCGCACACTCTACTCTCGACCCTTGTGATTAGAGCGTGCAAAAGTTCATAAATTTAAAATTCTTATAACATCACTGTATATTAACTATATTGGTTATAGAATATGTTATTTCCATGCACAAAAGAGGATTTAAGAATCATAAATTAAGAATGTAATCCTATGTGAGTGTATATTTATGTACTTGAATATATACGTTTTTCAAGCTAAATAGTTTAAAAAACGTCGAAAAAATGAAAATTTATTAGATAATCTGGATGAATTTGTGGTTCTTACAAAAATTACTGAGTATTTTAATAATGATTAAATCGATAAGCGGGTATCCAGTTTACATAACATGTCTGCCATTATGAGTACGTGTGCTGAATTATTGCGAGCGAGCACCAACTGCATTAAATTAAAACAAAATCTAACTAATCTACTTGCCTTGTGTTTCCAGGGAAAAAATATCGCAAATTTTAAATAACGATTTGTAATCAAATATATTAATTACTTGAAGGAATAAATATTTATATTTATAGTTTTATAATGATATTAAAGTCAATAAATTTATAAAATTTGTCAATTAAAATTAGAATTTTATATGAAGATGATTTTACATGTAAAAGTTTACATATTCCAGTGGTGGGGACAATGATATCTGATTACATGTAAACAAGTTTTCATTAGTTTTAGTCAGTGCTATATAAACAATTTTTTTGCAGTGTACAATGGTGCTTATTGTAAAAATAGTAATGAATTTCACACCACGTAAATGCATTTCTAATATTACTGTTTAATTTTGAAGTTGGTTTTTTTTTTTTTTTAAATAGCATTAGTCATATTGTTCTTACAACGACTGTAGGGCCGAATGTCTAAAGGTCACCATGCAATGTGATTACGTACCCGTTGATATTGTACGTCTTCGGTTTGCCATTAGTTCTCTTTCTCTCTCTTGATGTCTGCAAAACCGTTTCTCTTATAAACTTTTCTTGATTGCAAATCTTATAATATGATACTTTTTACTAATTTCCTGAAGTCATACTACGTTTAAATTACTTTTTCTTTTGTCATTTCTGCATTTGACTCTTACACTTGCGTTAAAATTGTAATTACCTTTTCTCAAAAATAGGCTTTCCTTGCTTTTACCTAAATCAAAGATTGTTAATGCGATACTTGTAATTGGAGTGGCCCATGGTACAGTCGTGCAGTAAATGTTCAGGCCATAAACATCGTATTATACTATTTTTCTTTTATTTATAACTAATTAAATCTTTGCTTGTTATTTCAGCCACAATACAGAAAAAGTAATTTATTTTCTACTTCTTGAAAGAAAACGTAAAAGACCGGCTTGTGAAGATGAACTAGAAATAATGAAGAATGCTGCAAGAGGTACGCTTAATCAACAAGAAGATCCACCAAAGAAACGCATTGATACTTGCCGGATCAATGGCAACAGTAATTTTAATTTAGGACAAATAAGTCATGGTTCGCCATTAACACCCAGAAGACAATCTAGGTATGTTCATGATTAAGGAATTGATAGATAGTAAAATTATTTAACAATTACGTAGTAATTTTTTAACAATTCTATGATTTTATTAGTTCATATTGAAATTCTTGATCATCATGTGAAATAGTAGAATCCAAAAATTACTAGGACATAATTATATTTGTCCGCTTTATACGAAAAAAATTACACTCCATTTGCCTATCCTTGTGTCTTATCAGTGGCACGTTAAGATATCTATCTTATCCAGCCACGGTAGTTTAAGATATTGGATGTGTAACATCACACTTTCTATAATACGTAAAACAAATTACAATTAAAATCTTTTCTTGTTGAGTAGCTCTGAAAAAAACCGCAAGTATTTTTCAGAATCATTACTTTATTATTTTTCAATATAATGTCTTTTTTGGACAATGTATTTTTCTCAACATTTTGGCCATTTTAATAAATCCTTTAAAACATATAATTTACCAAATTTATAAAAATAAGTGTCTATCCGAACCTTGTTTGAGCTGAACTATTTCCTCTCGAGCCACGTTTTCATGTTGGGAAAAAGTCAAATGTGATAGGAACTCAGATTAGATGAGTACGGTATATACGATAGTAATTCATAGCAGAGTTAAAATTTGTCCATAACGAATCCGGATGAGGGAGCTGGTACGTAGGCCGTAACTCTTTCAGCTCTTTTACTAGAACTAGTCAAATAAAGAACTTTAATAATTTCTCATAATCGTGCTGTCCTCTGGAAACTCAATGAGGAGTATTACCTTTAAATTCTGAAAAACCATAGTCACGACCTTTCCAGCCGATGGAACTGTTTTGATCTTTTTTAAAATTGATAATCTTTTCCGTTTATTCTGCGTATTGTCGACTGAAAACAATCCTGGTACTCATTGAGGCTACAATTTGCTCATTATTAATTTATCATAAAAAATGTTGATTGTCATTCTATATGATACGTCTATAGCGTCTGCTATATTGCGTATTTTTGTTCGACAATAATTATGTTATGAACCTATTTAGCGATTTCTTCACATATCTGTCGGACGGCCTAGGTGCTCTTCATTAAAAATAGATATGCTGCTACCTTAAACGTTTTACGTTTTCGTTAAACCAATAGCTCACTATTGTCATAGATAGCAAAGAAACCGTATCAAATTAAACAATTTTGTTTTTAATTTTTTATACACAATCAGCGTTTGATCAATGAAGTGTGCAGATGTACCAATACTATGCTTTATCCGAAAAACTAAAATATTAAACAATCACTGAAGTGACAATTACATTCAAAATTTAATTTAATAAACTCCAAAAAAAGAAAACAACGGCCGAAATGGCCCCTGAGTCAGGAAATGACAAGACCACTCCTAATAAAACAACGAAAACTGGAAAATTGTAAGCGGCAAAAAACAAAGATACAGCCCAGAAAATCAAACTCAAAACAAAAAACGACAAGCAGAATTATCAGATTATTGGCTAACTAACACAAGCAACAAATATGAAACTCTTCAAAAAAATAAAGAAAATAAAGAAAATCATAATGAAAAAGAAAACAGCGAAGCAAATAATTAAAAAGCAAATCCCCTCCATTTTCGTTTACATTGTAGAGAATATCAAGACGTTTGAAGAAAATAACACCTTAAAAGTGATAGTATCAAACAAAATTAAAATTCAACCGACAACGTCAGAATAATATTTGCCAATTATTACTGTATTAAAAGAAAAAAAAACACGTAATTTTACACTTACCAGCGCAAAGAAGAAAAAGGTTTCAAAGTTATATTAAGCATACACCCGTCAGTTGTTATAGATGAATTAAAAATAGCCGTAGACGAATATGGATATAAAGTAATAAGTATTTATAACATAAGGCATCGCATCACAAAACTACCATTGCCGCTTTTCACAGTTGAAATTGAACATGATTATAAAAGCCAAGAAATTCATAAAGAAAACAGATTATTAAACACGGTAACCATATTCAAGCCACTGGACGTTAAAAGAGAAATTCCTCAATGTCAAAACTGCCAAGAATATAGGCATACAAAATCTATTATTATAAAAGTGCAGTGTGTGTAAAATATGCTGAACAACGCCAAACTAAAGAATGTCTAATTAACCAAAAAATAAAAGTCGTAACATGTGCAAATTGCAACGAAAATTACACCGCAAACTATAAAGGATACCCAGTTCGTAAGCAATTACAGCAAAAACTATTTCTTAGACTACGAGAAAAAACACTAAATCATACAGTATTCAATTTCATCAAAATCCTAATTCAAATTTAAATGCTAACCAAACATAATATATGCACAGGTAATCAAAACAAAACGATCAGAGTGAGATCGAAATATCAAAACAAACAGTTGTTCAAGCAGAGCTAAGTAAATATACCAACAAAGTAAACGCGAATAATAAACTTGAACATATAACGGAGCAATTGATGCAAATAATGGATACTAAGTTAAATTTTTTAATTGTACTAGTAAACAAAATGACATAATAAGCAGTCTAAGACTCGCTATCTGTAATGCAAACGGTCTTATACAAAGGTATCTTGAATTAAAAGCATTTTTAATCTATGAAAATGTAGACATCACGTTGATATCAGAAACATACTTTACAAGTAGAAACTATCTTAATATACCAAATTACACTGTACATAAAACTGATCATCCGCTTAATAAAGCTCACAGGTACTGCGATTATAATCAAAACAAAAATAAACCACAATATCCATACTTATATTAGTGAAATCTACTTACAAGCAACAAGTGTCATCATCAAGGATAACAATATCAACTGTTTACTGTCCTCCCAACAAAACAAAAGAAAATTAGACTGATTTTTTTTAACACACTTGGAAATCGCTTTATAGTATGAGGTGATTATAATGCGAAACATCCGTGGTGAGGATCAAGATCATCAACTCCGACATACACAGGTAGAGTATTCTATGACATACTACAAAAAAATAACTATATTACGATGTCCACTGAAGAACCAACATACTGGCCTACAGATATAAACAAGCTTCCGGGGATTTGATTGATTTTGCTATAGTAAAAGGTATAAACAAAAATTATTTTAAAGTGTCATCATGTTTAGATTTATCATCAAATCATTCATCGGTACTAATTACTCTAAACTACCAAGTATTGAATAAAGTAAACTATAACGGTCTACTAGAAAAAATATGCTGTTTACATAGAGAAAGGCATAACATGTAACGTTCCTCTTAAAACAGCTAATAATGTAGAAAACAGTATCAAGTCACTCAACGTAAGTCTAACTGAAACTATTAACAAATGCTCTACTACAATAAATAGAAATAAAACGCAGCAAATTACATTCACTAAAATAACTAGATTAAAATAAATAGATCGAGTCAAGGCAAAATTAAAGTAAATAAAGCATCGAAAAATCTAAAGAAAATGTTATATGAAGAAAAGAACACACAAACGTAGAATTATCTCAGATCACTGAGTCCGACAGAAGCTACAGATTACTCATTATGGGAAGCTACTAAACGACTTGAAAGACCAACTATCAGTACTAATATGCAAAAACAACCAACTACATTTATACCACCTATTAGAAAACCTGATGATTACTAGGCAAGACCAGACGAGAAAAATGCTGAAACGTTCGTAAATCATCTTAATACAGCCTCACCAAAGATTAATCACCGAAGAAAAGAAGAAATCTTACTAGAAGACTGTGACATCCAAGACAGTACACTAATTAAATCGATTAAAATAAAATAAGTATTTCAAATTATTAATAATATTAAGAATAGAAAAGCTCCTGGTTCTGATAATGTCACAAGAAAATGCTCAAAATGGTACTCTCAATTGCAGTAAGATACCTAACTTTTTCAATGCATGCTTCCGTCTCTACTATATTATTTCCCAGTGGAAAGTAGCAGAAATTATTTTAATACCTAAACCTAATAAAGAACTAGAACTAGTAACTTCATATAGACCGATTAGCCTTTTATCAGCACTTTCTAAAATCTTTGAAAAACTAATCTTAGCTAGAATTAACCCATTGATACTAAATAGAAAACCTATCCCTGACCATCAATTCGGTTTCAGGTGTAACCATTCCACGATTGAGCAAAAAATTAAAATAGTATCTGTATATTTCTAGATGTTTCTTAGGCTTTTGACACGATTTGACATAAAGGGCTACTGCACAAGCTCAAAAGATTTTTTCCTCACCCCCCACTAAGAACTGTTACAGTTATATCTATATAATATAGCCTATCAAGTTAAAATAAATAAAAACGTATCAAAACGTTAGTTAATAAAAGTAAGAGTATCGCATGGTAGTGTTCTAGATCCAACACTATATCTGTTATATACCTCGGACCTATTCCAAAGTCTATTAATATCTTGACAGCAGCGTATGCAAATGTTACAGTAATTTCAACAGTACAGCCAGAGGAAACAATAGCAAACAAAAACATTACAAAATTGCATAAAAAATCACTTTCAAAATTGGTTTAACTCCTGGAGAATAATAGTAAATGAAAGCAAATCAATACATACGACATTCACACTTCAAAAAGATATTTGTCCTCCTATTAAATTAAACGATAAATATATTCCACAAAGCAAGTAAAATATTTAGATATTCACCTAGGCCGAAGACTTACACGGAAAGAACATATATTTACTAAACGTAGACTGGCGTTCAACTATGGGGTGCTGCTTCTAATTCGAATATCATCATTCAAATAATCCAATATCATCATCGAATATCGTCATTTTCCTCGAACTATAACTTCAGATTATGAAATACAATTCACTCCTCACTTTTTTAAAAATTTCCCAAAACTCTGTGGAATTAAACTCAATTAGACCAGCTGGCATCCAGCTCCGAACGTTCTAATTGAACGCTTACATCGCCATTTAAAAGCTGCAATCATGGCTCAGTCAGACACCGATTACCTCTCTTGCTTCTTGAAATCCGTTCTATTTTCAAAGAAGATATTAAAGCTACCT